GCTGGTGCAAGTGCAGGAAGCCTGCCGGAGATGAGGTCTGGACAGCGGCCTGTGGGCAGAGAGTGCAGGGCCTGGGAGGCCTTGATTACGAGTTTGGATTCCTTTTGAGAGGGAGGGGAGCCATTGAAGGGTTTTTGCCTTTTTTTAAAAAATAAATCTTTATTGATTTCAGAGAGAGGAAGGGAGAGGGAGAGAGAAACATCAATGATGAGAGTCATCAATTGGCTGCCTCCTGCATGCCCCCTGCTGGGAATCAAGCCTGAATCCCCAGCATGTGCCCTGACCGTGAATCCCGCACCGAGATCTCCTGGATCCTAGGTCCTCGATCAACCGCTGAGCCATGCCCGACTGGGCGAAGGGTTTTTGCCTTTTAAAAGGATTACTCACTCTGGATTTTGATCAGGAGAGAATGGCCTGCAGGGTGGGTAAGAGTGGAGGTGAGAGGCCATAGCCAGAGCCTTGTGGAACTCTCCCTGGTTCACTGGGGCCCTCTCTCCTGCCCTCCTGACTGCCTGAGAGCTACTCCCTCTTTCAGACCAAGCAGCTTTGCCCTCTTCTTAAAGCCTTGGTCCAAATTCAGACCCCAGAGTGAGAATCTGCCCCTTTATCCCCTATCAAGGATTTTTTTTTTTAAATTCCCAAACAATGACATCTGTTTCCTGTTAAGGAAAACACAATTCTCTGCCTCCTCACTTGCACGTTGGGCCTCCATGAGAGTTTCATTTGAACAAAGGATTTTACCGCAAAAACAAATGTGAACATTGCTTATCCGTTCACCCTTCGCTGTTCCAGTGAATAGTCTAGTGAGCAGAAGTGGCTTCACTAAGTTGCAAAGAGGGTCCCTCCACTCCCTGCCCTGTGTGCCTGTCCCTGAGGTTTGCTGCCTAGAATGCCCTCCTCCTGCCCACCTAGTACCGTGTGCCCTCAAGACATTCAGCCCACAGCACCACCTCCGCCAGCACTGCCCTGCACCCACCGCCTAGCCTTGTCTCACGAACACCTCAGGCCTGTCTCCTCTCTTGGCAGCTCCTCCACTTCAAACAGAATTCCTCCTTCCCTGCCCTGGTCTCCAGCTGTGCTTCCTCCATCATTAGGCTGGGTTCTAATTACCCTGCAGTGTAATTTATCTGTTGACATGGATGCCTCTTCTGCTAAGCCTGAGCGCGTTCTAAGGCAGGGACTGTCTTCCCTCTGGATCCCCAGCTCCTACTTCTCACCTGGCACAGAGCAGGGGCCCCACGAATGACCGTCGAATGCCTAGGCCGCAGTGAGGCGTCTGTCGCATGCTCCTCCTTTGTCTTTTCA